AAAAAGATGAGCAGGGTAAATGGGACGAGGGGTGGAGGGATGGGCTCATTGCAGTATTGAACAAGGGGTCTCACTGAATAACCCATAAGCAAAGACTCTTGAAGCAGGGACTTGCCACGTGGATATCTGGAAGAACAGCATTCTAGACAAAGAGGACAACGAGAACAAAAGGGCCAACGCAGGAGTGTGCCTTGGCAAGGCTACCAGTGTGGCTTGGAGTGGACTCAGGGCCAGTGAAAGTAACAGATGGGGTCAGAGAGGTAGCACCAGGATAGAGGGTGAGATCCTGGAGGGCCTCTTGTTAGGGCCACTATATTTTCAAATCAGGATGCTTCTGGGAGTGAAACAGGGCACTGTTGGGGAGGGCAGTAGTGGTGGATGATGAGAAGTGCCCAGATTCTGTATATATTTCTGAAGGCAGAGCCTATAGCATTTCTGTTATGAGGGAAATAGAATACATTTTTAATCAAGGATGATCACAAGGTTTTTGACTTGTACCATTGGAAAGATGGAGTTTCCAAGAATAGAAACAGGGACATGGAGGTAAATTAGGTATTCTGCGGGAGGAGGGATTCAGTTCAGTCGTGGTGTGTTGAGGTGCCTATTAGATACCCAAGTGGCAATGTTTTGTAGGCAGTTACATGAACAGAAGTGCAGGAGGGAGGTCTGGGGTGGTGTCATCAGCATGCATGTGGACTCTTAAACTGTGACATTGCATGAGACCACCAAGGGAGACAGTGAGGATATAGTAGAGAAAATCACCACGGATTACCCCTGGAGCTACCCAACATTAGAGGTTAGTGTTACCTCCCAAATGGAGGAGTTCACTCACTTGGTGGCTATCAAGTCAATAGACACAGCCAAGTTGGTTATGGCAAGAGGGTTTTTATTATTTGGCACAACTAGGGTTGCCGAAGCAGTATGTCCCTAAATAAGGGGTTGGGCTGGTTTTATAGTCAGAGGATAATGAGGCATGACTGATAAGGATCTTGCGATGGCATGATGCCAGGAGACATGCTCTGACTGGATCCTTCTGTGGGGTGACGCCAGGGCACAATCAGATTGGATTCTGGATCCTGCCATGTAGTGTCTGCTTCTTAATTCAGTCCCTGCTCTTTGGTCCAGGCACTTAGGTTCCGCCCATGGTTACACACTTGCTTCATTTGGCCATGCTCAGGTTAATGTGACCTTCAACCTGGGAGTCCAAGGCAGCTGAAAACAACTCACAACTTTGTCACATAAAAGTTAAGGCAGATTGGTCTGGTGCAGTTACATTAGGAAGAGGAGAAGGCGCTAACAGATTGAAAAGAAGTGACCTTTGAGATAACCAAGAGCTTGTGTTGTGCCACAGCCAAGTGAAGAAGGGAGTGGTTGTGATGTAAGCGGCTACTCATAGCTCAAGTGAGCTTTAGGCCAGGAACTGACCACTGGATTTATCTATGTGGAGGTCTTTGTTGATCTTTCTGAGCAGTTTAGGTAAAGTTGTTAGCTAGATAGCGAGGGATTCCGGGTCTTCTGGGGACGAAAGTGGGTGCTGCTCCCTTGGCGGAAGGCCTCCATCTTGGGCCTGTCCCATCCTAATCTCCCAAGCTACTGCCATGCCTGGGGGAGGAGGGAAGGCCCTACAAATCTGCCAGTCAGAACTTGGCGTGCCAGCTGCAAAAGAATGCAGAGGACTCTCTAGCCCACAGGCCAAGCAGCGTAGGTACCATAGAGTCCAGAAATTGACCTAGAACAACCTGCGTGCATATTAATGCAACTCCCAACTGTTCAATCAAAGTGGTTCCATGGTGACGTTTGAACCACGAGGGAGGTGCCAATCTAGACACTATAAAACAAGATGCAGATCATAACGAAGTCCCTTTTTGTACCCTTCCTTTTGCTCTCCTTTTGCAGTGACAATGGCTCTAGTGGTGTATGTATCATGCTCTGTAAACCTGTATCTTGCTCTTGCCCTATAATCCTGCCTTTCT